TTGATGTTGCATATCAGCATACGCTTGTGTACTGCTATACAACTTCTCCTACTTCGAGTACATACTTCTATATAAAAGATTGCATGATTGGCCTAAATACGATATACGAATGACAGTTGGATACAGAATGCTATACCACTGAGTTACGATATCACCGATCGAGAAGAGAAACTTCTCAGATCAATCAAGAATTATAAGAAAGAGAAACTTAATATTAATAGTTCTCTCAATGGATTAGCTACCCAGAGAGAGAATAGAACAGCTATTAATATAAATGGTTCATTTACTTATATATTGATATAGTTATACTGCTGATAAAGAGTATAAAGAAATAGTGTATGAATTAATGGATACCTAGCTTCTACAACCAAATATACAAATATCGATAAGACATTCTATATTTGGGATCGTAATTTATTCATTACAAAGATAATGAATAAATGATCAACTATTATGTTCTATTGCCAATTACACTTGACAAACAAGTATGCATCTTTTACAGTAACCGTTGCATGATCTGATAAATAAGTGTCTCGTAATACTAAAGATTTATTAGCATACTCATGCTCCCGATCCACTGATATGGGACAACGTTATCTGGAAACAATTCTAACGAGTAGTATCCATTTAATCCAAGGCGGGAAACAAAGTATAGATCTATTCCAAAACCAGAAAGGTTGACTCATCATTAAAACTCAGGAGAGTTGTGCAATATAAAAAGGATCAATTATTTCATAGCAGCAGAGTTCTTTTAGTCTATTTTTACCCCTAATAAAATATACTTTTATCTCATTACTTTTCTATGTAATATTTTGTCAAATACCACAGAACTCACAATCCCAATCAGTTATAGAAATCACACTCTCAAACATTTATAAAAGTTACACTCCCATTCCTTTATTATTTGCTTTAGTTTTTTTCTTCATCAAAATATCCACCCTATTCTTGGGATAATTAACTTTAGGCATAACTCTTCTATGCTATTTTCAAGTTGTAAGCAATTTGACACTTCTATTTCCAACAGAAAGACATAGATTTCATCCGTTAACAACAAATACGTTCACAATTCTCTTTTCTCTGATGGATTCCTTACCTACCTATAGTCTTAGTCTGTCTGACTTGTCATTAGCTACGTTACTGCAGTCGGGCCTAGCTTCAATTGTTATTCCAGCTTCCAACACTCCTGTTATTCTGGCCTCTGAGTCAATTATTTCTGTGGTTTTCCCTCACCACAACGTCCGTATGTCTAAGATCTTGGTACGCGATTTGCTTCATCGTGGGTCCCAATACACATATTCTTCAACAACAATCTGATCTTGAAACTATATTCCCCTAAGCTACTTCGTAAATTTGGGGTCGCAATAACCAATGCGTATATGCAACCTACTGGTAACTTTCGTCGTGTCCTGGGTGCCAGTATATAGTCTACTGGGTCTATCAATTTCCGTCCTCTTCTTGAGTCCTAAATGTCCACATGTATTCAAGCATTCGATCAACCAACACAATTGGGAGCTATATTGCGTGATTCCTTGTTCCCTCCAAAGCCTGCGACCACCTTTTACGGACGTGCTAATTCGACCTGGTAGAATACTGGCTATACTCATTTCGCTTGATTCTAATGACTTACAAAAACAAAAAAATCTACTGTCGCCACTTCTTTATCATTCGTTTTCAATGTTGCTTGTATTTTACTTGGAATCTGGAGATCTCGATTGAGACAAGTTTTTGACGATCAACCTTTCACATTCACAACGGTGCTTCCATTCTGCAATCCAGTCGTATGACAACTATACTTTCAAACGCTGGACGTTTAAAAACAAGTGTGCTTTCTTTCATAAAAATACTTCTTTCGACTTGTTGTCCCAATGACTCTTTCACATTGCTCTTGGTCACTCGTAAAACAAAACAAAAACAAAAAAACAAAAGACACAAAAAAGCAAATAATCACCCCTCAGTAACAATAAATAAATTTTGAAAGACAGTGCTGTCTTTTGGGACAGCCAAAGTGCACGTAGTGGCAATATAAGATCTGTAATTTCGATGTTCTCTAGACCTGGAAACAAGGATATACAATGTAAAAATTACGCATAAATGTTTATTAAACGATTTATACTTATTTTGACATCTGTCATCACTCATTCGCCTTTGAGCTCGTTTGATCTTAAGCTCATGCCGAAATGCTAAACCAGAAGCTGAAGGTAAGCTATAAAACACATATACTGGTTTAAACTATGTTGTTTGTACTAAATGTGTATATATTTTAAGCTGTTAATTTATATTGACCTCTTGATGTCTGTTAAGGATATCATGGATATAATAACAAAGTTATTTTTTTTTTTTTTTTTTTTACCTTTTACGTCTTTTTTTAACCTTTTATGCTTATCTCACTGTAAATGTCTCGTATTTTGGATGGATTTTTGCCAGTATATTGATTATACCCACCTATGATGCTGTGTATCTTGGCGTAGGTACGATTTTTGACACCATGTATTAGCTAAAGCTTGCTGATAATCACACAATATAAGCTGGGCAGTTGAAAATTAATAATCCTTAATAGTTTCTCTCATATAAGTGCTTCAAGTGGCATTTCTAGAACAAACATAATCCAGAGTGGCGAGCTACTTCTGGGTTTATTTACCATAAAAGGTAATATAATCACGTGCCCCAATTTACTCTTGTAACTGTTTTTTCCGTCAACCACTGTCTGAGGCTCCCCATTCTGCTGAGATACGCGCCCAGTGACTTCGGAATCTGGTCGGCAATCGAATCAGATTGGAGGAGCCGAGGACACTCTTTTTTTCTTATTTTTTTTTATCATTTTTAAATTCCGCGCCTATAAGATCGTACTGACATTCCCAAATTTCTGGTTCCAAATACGCGTACAATGTTGGAATTTCATCTCTTTTTGAAAGCTAATTTTTTTCGGCTATGTATGGATAAAAAGCAGTGATTTATTCATAAGGCATTACTTAGTCTCCTACACATATAGCCATTGATGTGATGAATTTTATAAAAAAAAAAAAAAAAAAAAAAAAAAACGAACGTCGATGTTTGGTAATGTCAGGAACGAGGGAGGAGCGAGACAGGCAGGACAGGACAGGACAGAGAATGAATAGCTTCTTGGAGCAGGTTATTTATTTAAGAATAAAAGGGAGAAAAGAAAAGAGAAGATGATTATGAAATATATCTGATAAAGAAAACTGGGAGAAGTAAAATTTATCAGCTATATTTATAGAGAAAGAAAAACAAGAAATTAAATAAAAGAATAAGCAATGACAAAAGTTAGCCATAGCTTATGTGGATCATGACAAAGGATTTAAAGAGCTGATAGATCAATGATAAATATTGAGTCTGAAAGCTGGTTACTCATAAAGCATATTTGTGGCATAAGATCTAACAGGATCATGACAGGTAAATCAATGACAGCGTCAAGATTGGAAAAGAATACCAAGAAACTGCCCATAAACCAATATTGACACCATATATTATCTGGAGCCTGCTGATAATTACACAATTTAAGCTGGACAGTTGAAAAATAATAATCCATAATAGTTTCTCATATAAGTGCTTTAAGTGGTATTACACAGGATCGAATCATGCATAAAAACAATAAAAACCATCATATAATTATTACCAGGTAATATCCCCTCTTTTCGTCGCTGTCTGTTACCTTTTGTATCTATCTTTTCACAAAATTTTGTAGAAGCTCATTAAAAAAAACGATTTAGCTTTTTACATCTAAAAGCACTGTATTATTTACTCATTCATGGTATACTACTGGATTTGTATCTCCTTTAAAATCACTCTCAGAGAACACTTTTGTTTTCTTCTTTCTTTTATAAACAATAGTTAGCTTATGCTGATTAATTGAAGTCTGGTACTCACTATCACATTTGTAAATTAATAACAACTGTCGCTTTTCTATATTTAAATCCGTACTAGCGCTATATCACCAACACAAAGAAAATTTAACGCAGGGAAAAACTGCATCTTTTCCAAGCCTATCGTTACAAGCTATAACAACGAAGAAATATCCAAGCGGTGACATGAGTGTATCTTCAGTAGACATTGCTGAAAAATCTGGCTACATACAAAAGAGATCAATCGCTTTTTAAAAGGCATTGGCCATGGTTGACGGGTAGTTAGGCCAATGCTTCCTAAATCAGGTAGTGCGATATGTACACATTTAGAACATACGAGACTTTGATGATCTCTTGCTTTATCATTAGGAGTTGAATTTACATCACCGTCACCATGGTTTTAATGGATGCGGTTGATACGCTGAAGTTGACCTTCCCGGACGTAATTTTCTCTTTCATCATTCAAGCCAAATTATCCATCCCTTTTGTTTTATATGGCACCTGTTAATCCATTCATCCATCCATGCATGAAAAAAAAAAAATAAAAAAAATAAAAAAAACATCAAAAAAAAAAAAAAAATTTGAACTGAGCTGGATGGATGCATGGATCGAACGCTCTACCATCTTTAAATGCTACCAACAAAATCATTTTTTTAAATATACATATTAAAAAAGCTCACTGCTTTTGGCACCGTCGCTACCGGAAAATATCATCACTGAATCCTTATAAATAATGTTACATCGCGCCCTTTTTTTCTCTCCCTTTGGCTGCTTGTACCACAGTAGTAGTAGATAAGGAGAGTTATCTACTATCGGTTTGGCAGTGCGACTCAGTCTCACGACACACGCTATTTTAAATCCCAGGTGAAATAATTTTTTTTTAAAAAATAAAAAAATCTTATTTGTTATTTTCAATAACAAAATGCACTTTATACTTCCTTTGTCATCTGTAAATTATACGCAATATTATTCTGTTGGATAAAAAAAGATTGAGTACATTCGGGTGATGTAATGAGAAAAGTTTCACTATGACGGATGGTGCATCATCACTGCTGATATAGTGATATTCAATTTCAATTGGCCAATAGGAAGTGAGATGTAAATATTCATACTTGAACAACGAATATTGATATGCCTGAGTGTCATTGTGTTTGTCTTTTTTTTTTATAAAAATGTACAGGGAGGTTAGGCGAACGTTTGTTTAGTTGGATGTTTTTGAAAACCGTTAAAAGTTCTCTATTAATCTTGCATGGAAGCTGTGCTTTTTTTTTCTTTTTTTTTCTATTTCTTTTTTTAGAAAACCGAAAACATTTTTCTTCGCTTTTTTACTTTCTTATCTCTCAATCACCGTAATAATACCATCCTTGTTGAGACGTTACTTGAAGACATGTATACACATAACCAGTTTATTACATTCCTGCGATCGGATGACAAGATAAAAAGACGAAAAAATTATCAACAATCTACAGCATACTACATCTACCAGCAGATGCATGTTTGTCAGAATCAAACACGTAGCAGCATATTTGGGCGTTTGTGTTGGTGACATCATCTTGAGCACTGTAATACTTAAGGTTTAAGGACCGAAAGACAAGATGCAAAAAGGTGCCACTTTGAAGGTGCCTCTTCAAAGGTGCCTCCTCAACAATTCTAAACCTATCATTCTTATATTACTTAGCCATTAACTTAAATTATCTTAACTATATAAACTATCATAAATTCTATCAATAAAACATTATTCTATTTCTACTTTATATTTCATTGTGATTATATAAGATAAATATTCTTATCCAATCATATTTATCTTCTGACATATAATCCTCATCTATCCGGGTCGCACTATTACATTGGTGGAGTAAAGCTGTTAAGGCAATGAGTACTGATATTACTGCTGAAAACTTACTGAAGGCTGGTTCAAGCTCTGCGCGAGACTTGAGAACTACGGTTACCAGCGTTGATGAAAACTTGACCTCGTCTGGTTCAAGTTCTGTTACTGAACGTCCTCCTAAGGTCACTTCTGAGGTCATTCCCGAGGTAACTAATCCTTTGGCGCGTGAGGCTCCGACGAGAACTCTGGAATCTATTGGCACTCCCTCTGTGGTGAATTATAGCAATGCCAAACGATACGACCAACGTCGTCCAGGTTCTGATGCTGTACCGCCGCCTGCAAGTTTCACAAATTTTGCTGCTAATCTTCCCAGCGTGGATGATAATATGAGTAATCATTCGGTACCAACTCAGGAGGAGTTGCGTGCCCCGTTTGTAGCAATTATGGATTCGTATAACAATTTATTGACTTATGTCAGTACCGGTCGTGCTGCGATGATAGATGAAATTAGTGAAAATGAAAGAGTTGGTAATGCTGTGGCTGAATCATATAATTTCCTTGCACCTGCTAGTCGTGCATCTCTGGATATGGTTCTATCGACTTTTCGTGCTAAAATTGATGAGATGAAAGCTCGTGTTGCTTTCTTTGATAATGATATTAACAATACAAGGGATAATATTGTTCGTGAACTTACGCATGGACTTCATACTATTCCTGCTGCTGATTTGTGTCCTTTGGTACAAGAGTTTCGCTGGCCTACTGAAGCTGTCTGCCATGATTTAAATCTGCCTTATGATTATGTTTTGATGGCTAGGGGGGAATACAATAGTCGAACTCGTACAACGGTAACACCAACTGGGCCTGAGACGGGTGGCGATGCGCAACTGGAAGAGTTACACCGACTGCGCTGTCGTATTGCTATGTTGGAGAATGCGAAGTCAAGACAAAGTGGCGATGCATATGAAGATGTACCACGAGCAGCTGTTTTGGTGGAAACAAAGCCTGTAGCGAAGAAGATCAATATTTCTGAGCGACGAAAACGTATGCGTTTTGATTTGTTTTCCCAAGGTAATGAAGAAGAAGCTCAAATTTGGATGCAAAGATATGAATTTCTTTGTCGATATGGTCGTTTTGATGAAGAAGAAATGGTGGATGAGTTGGAGGTGACGTTAACGGGTACGGCATTAAACTGGCTGCATTCGATTTCCGATCCAAAGACTCCATTGGCATGGTCTGTTGTTAGAGAGAAGTTTCTGAAGAAGTTTGGTGGAGGTGTTGATCCTACTCTGATTGCTTTGAAGGAACTGAAAAAGTTGCATCAAGGAAATAGGTCGATGAGGGTATTTGGTCCTATCATTACGGATCTTCTGTCTCGTGCGCAAATTTTTGCACCGGGTGTCCAACTTGACTATTTCAAGGATCGTATTCGAAATGAGCTGCGCACTGCTATTATTTATCGTGGACCTACTGATTTGGAACAGGCGATTCAAATTACCACTGATGTTGAAGAAGATTTGCGTAGAGTATTAGGCTCCAAACCTATGGCTGTTAGCTCTGTCTCTCCCGTGGCAACGGAATATGCAACAATGTCAAGTGGTTCTACTCAAGAAAGCCAAAATTATCAGTATGGTAATTCAGAGGGTTCCACAAATGGTTCTGGGGGTTATCGTGGTGGTTCTGGGGGAAACTCAGGCGGAGCTCGAGGTGGTTCTGGTCACGGTGGTTCTGGCTCTGGTGGTTCTGGCTCTGGTGGTTCTGGTTCTGGTGGCAAGAAAGGTGGTTCCAAGTCGGGTGGTAACAAGAAAGAAACTAGGCGTTGTTTCACTTGTAATAATGTGGGTCATTTGAGTGTTAACTGTTTCAAGAATAAGAAACCCAAGCAAAATCAAGAACATCAATATCAACAGCAAGATGTTTCGTGTCAACAAAGTACAGATGTTGAGAACATGATTGATATTTTTGCTCACTTGGGAAAGTTACCTCAAAATAACCAAGGTGTATCTGAGTCTGAAGAATTGGAAGCAAGACGGTTTACTACAATCGTTAAGATCGATGGTGGGGAACAGAAATGTTTAGTTGACGCTGGATCTACTCTTACTTCAATTCGCGAATCTACGGCGTCAAGGTTGAACTTAAGACAATTTGCTACGAAGCCAAGAATTATCCAATACGGTGATGGTGGGGAGCAAATGACTACAAGAAAAGCTGTTTTTGACTTTGTTATTGATGGTTGTCCTACTCGTGCGTTTGCTTTTGTGGTCGAATCTCAAAATGAAGAAGTAATTTTGGGTATGGACTGGATGAACGAAGAAGATATTTTGTTACGTCCTCGACGCAAGGCTGTTTACAAATACGTCGAAAGACAAAATTCTCAAGATACGCTCAATGATTTGGAAAGTCGTGCTGAAAGGATCCTCGCAGATTACCCAACGTTGGTTCCAAAAGAAGGCGATGTGCAATCTGTTACAAATGCTCCTTACAAGCATCGTATACTTACAGGTGATGCGTTACCCGTGTACGTAAAGGAATATCGAAGACCCTTTGCGGAAAATGAGCAAATCAAGATTGAAGTAGCCGATATGCTGAAGAAGAAGGTAATTGAGCCCAGTACTAGTCCGTGGTGTTCTCCTGTGGTTATGATCAAAAAACCTGACCAAGGGGATGGAAAGACGACGTGGCGGTTCTGTATCGATTACCGACGACTAAATCAAGTAACTTTAAAGGACAAATTCCCTATTGGAAATCTCAACGAACTTTTAGATCAGCTAAATGGGTGTAAATTTTTAAGTACAATTGATTTGAAGAGTGGTTACTGGCAAATACCGATGGATCCAAGGGATGCTCACAAAACGGCGTTTGTAGCAGATGGAAAACTTTGGCAGTTTAAGGTGCTTCCGTTTGGGTGTGTTACTGGTCCAAATTCTTTTTCTCGATTTATGTCTGGTGTCATCAGTGGCTTGGAACGTACAAAGATTTATCTGGATGATTGTATTGTCTATTCAAGAACCGAGGATGAACATGAAAAGGATTTGAGGGCATTGTTGAAGCGATTAACAGAATACAATCTGAAGATATCGATCAAGAAGTGCAAGTTTTTCAAGCGTGAAGTCAAATATTTAGGTTTCATTGTTTCTAGCCAAGGTATTCGCTCGGATCCGGAAAAAACAAAGGCGGTAGAAGACTGGAAGGCTCCAACTACAGTAAATGCGCTGCAAAGGTTTCTGGGGTTCTGTGCTTTCTACCATCGTTTCTTAAAGAATTTATCTTCGGTGGCCGCTCCCATGTACAAGCTGTTGCGGAAAGATGAAAAGTATGTCTGGTCTGCTGAGATAAACGATGCTTTTAAGAAACTGAAGAGGATGCTGGTGAATCTCCCAATCTTAGCCTTTCCCGATCCAAGAAAAGGTTATGATGTTCATACGGATGCTAGTATGCATGGTTTAGGTGCAGCAATTGTACAGGATGGGCGACCGGTGGCGTTTGCATCAAGAAGTCTCACAGCTGCGGAGAAAAACTACAGTACTACCGAACAAGAGGCCTTATGTGTGAATTTCGCGTTGAAGTATTTTTACCCGTACTTATATGGCGCAAACCTTACCATCTATACGGATCATGCAGCGTTGAAAAGTATTTTGTCGACTAAGGAACCTCGCGGTCGGATTGCACGTTGGATTCTAGAGATGCAGGGTCATTCGTATACAATTATTCATCGTAAAGGCATCCATAACACCGATGCTGATGCTCTGAGCCGAAGGGATCAAGTACATGCCCAGGTGTTACAAGGTGAGGTGTCTCCAGGTGGTGAAGTGTCTCCAGGTCCGGTTTCTCCAGGTGGTGATGGTGTTGAAAGAGCTCTGGCTACTTTGAAGAAAAACCAAATGAATGATCCAAATATCCAAGCTATCATGAAAAAAGGTGTTAAACTTCCTTTTTTATGGAAATTCGAATTATTGTATTACCAATATGAGGATATGCGTATGGTTCCTGTCATACCGAAGGTGATGGTTGAGTCTGTCTTAAAGAGTTCGCATGATTTACCAACAGGTGGACATTTCGGTGTAGAGAAAACACTCTCTAAGGTGCGCTTATTGGGGTGGTGGATTGGTATGATGGATGATATCAAGAATTGGGTGTCTCATTGTCATGTATGTCAAAAATACAAGATACGAACGGATTCGACGGTTGCTCCAATGAAGCCTATCATTGCTACGAAGATTGGAGAAATCTGGGCGATGGATATTGCGGTACTACCTCTATCGAAATCTGGTAATAAATATTTGTTGGTGTTTATGGAATATCTCAGTAAATGGTGTATTTCCGTGGCTTTACCTTCGTTCGATACGGATCATGTTGCTCAAGCTTTACTATATGAGATTGTCTTGAAATTGGGAATGCCACTTCGAATAATTAGTGATAATGGTACAAACTTTATCTCTGAAGCAATGAAGACTGTATGCACTAGGCTGGGTATCAAGAGATCGATGACCTCTGTCGAACATCCACAAACAGACGGTTTGGTGGAGCGAATGAATCGGACGCTAAAAGTCTCTTTGGCTACGGTGGTGCACAAGGATCCAACAACTTGGGACGAATACATACAATTTGTTACATATGCATACAACACGGCAAAACAAGCAACTACTGGTTTCTCTCCATTTGAAGTTCTGTATGGTCGTGATCCGGTTATTCCTAACGAAGAAAGTTTGGTCATTCAAAACCCGAAAACTTATGAAACTGAGGAATGGGCCGCTTACTTGAATAAATACATTCCACTGTTACATGGCAAGGTTATAAAGAACATAGAGAAAGCGAAAGGTTATCAGAAGACATTTTATGATAAAGGAAAAAGGGTCAAACACAACTATGCGATAGGTGAACTGGTATTAAGAAGAAATCTGGAAAAAGGTACTTTCCCAAAGGAACGGTGGTTAGGCCCCTACAAGATTCTCAGCAAGAACAATGATGACGGCACGTCTTGGAAAATAATTAAGGTGTCCGACCCGAACAATTTTGTAACTACTGCAAATGTTCGCCATATGCGTCCCTATTACACAAAGGAACAAGAACAAGACCAACAAAACCTGCAACAAGTTATCAAGGTCTTTACTGCGAATGCTTCTTTTGAATGGGCCTCAAAACAAAAAGGGGGCAATGTAATACTTAAGGTTTAAGGACCGAAAGACAAGATGCAAAAAGGTGCCACTTTGAAGGTGCCTCTTCAAAGGTGCCTCCTCAACAATTCTAAACCTATCATTCTTATATTACTTAGCCATTAACTTAAATTATCTTAACTATATAAACTATCATAAATTCTATCAATAAAACATTATTCTATTTCTACTTTATATTTCATTGTGATTATATAAGATAAATATTCTTATCCAATCATATTTATCTTCTGACATATAATCCTCATCTATCCGGGTCGCACTATTACAAGCACTGTGATGTACGTGTGACGGGTCGAGGCACCATGTTGGCTCATTACCTTCCTCATGGCCAAGATTTACTTCTGTCCATTTCAAGGCTTGTGCGAAAATAAAAAATAACGGAGCCAACAAACCATTATCGATTCGTCACCTTTCGTAAACTATTAAAAGAGGAGTGAGTTCGCTATTTACGTTCTACTATCGCATGATACTAACTTCTGATATAGACTGTAGAACATGACATACTGGTTTCCACGCGACACTTTTTTTGTATACCATCTGTAAATTTGAGTCACGTATACAGCCGATCCCTTCCACATGCGTGCAGTCTTTGTAATCGTATAGTTGTCTAGTGTGAACAGTAGATCCGAAAGCGGGTGTCGGTAGTATTTGTCTAAAGCCTTCATGATCACCTCTTATTCAACACCTTCCATCAACAAATTCGATGACAATAACTCGACTGGTCAAAACGGCTCTCACAATGGACTTCCCTCAGTATCGTCTGGGCTATCAACAAAGCTTGATTCACCATCATACGGTCTTGTTGTGATTAAATTTAAGATGTACGCAATATCTATAACCCTCTCAACACAAACCCGAAGAGCAATTTTTTCGATGATATTACTAGAGTTTTTTTCACTTTGTCTATTAGATCTGATCAGTTTGGAATATTTTCTTATAGTACGCTCCATGGTTCTTATAGAGTAAGCACGTAGAGGACCTTGTTTTCTGATAATGAGCGGAATATGGATTAAATAGTCTTGAACTGGTCGAAATACGGCACGCGATAGGTTCTTATGACCCATCTGTTCAACAAGAAATTCATGCAAGTCTTGAAATCATTTGTAGAAGGTTGAATAAAGGGGGTGAGTAACAAAGTATTATGGCAAGCATCCTTATTTCATTTTACTTACGTTTCCATTCTGGTCAGAGTTTTGTTGAACCTCCCATTTTAATGCAAGACCACACCCTTTTACCAGCGAAATGATTGCATTTTGGAGCTCTGGGTTGGAAGGTGTACGATGATTAATGTTGAACAACATACAAAAGAAAGGCAAGCCAATCTACGGCACGAGTCCCATCTGTTCTGGCTATCCAATTATTAAAACTACTCTGGAACAATACTAGTATGTATCTTCTTGATTGCTTAATGGCTTTGCCTATTTCTATCGACTTGGGCTTGGGGATGAAAAAAGGGTGACCGGTTTTACTCTGGATCCGATTGACAATTGAACAAAAAAGCATCATTTTTGGAAATATCCACCATGATGAAATCGTACACAAGCTTACCAATACCTCTAGTTATCAAATGTAACTATTCCAATGCAAAAAAACCTATGAACCTGAAAACGAAAGAAATCCCTTGAAGATGCTTGACTGATATATGTTCGTAGCCTTGACATTTAAATAAATGTAATTACAACCATAGTAGTTAACTAATTAATTTTAGCTTACAGGATTGCTTTGCTTGAAATCGGATGAAGGTCTTAAAGATCCGAAACTATCGTCCAAGGTCATCCCCCTCATGTCGATTCTCTGTTGCTGTCCTTTAGTTCCACAAAATCTGCAGCCGACCGGAATTGTGTGGGATCCCACATGTGCCATATCGGCCATCAACAGGAATGCCGCCGGAAGCCAATACTAGGTGTACCTTTTCTCGTTTTGTTTGATTATCATCCGATGAACCAAGACGTCCTTCAATTCCATAATAATAGGCATCAAAAACAAATCCAAATCCTTTCGTTTTTTTTGGACCTGGCAATATAGCTAGTTGTAGCAAGTATGCATCCGAATTTTTAACAAGGAGTAATATTAATTTATATTATTATTTTACAGGAAAGGCATAAATGACTAATATAAGGGTAGAAGTTGAAGGTAATTTCGTGGATAATAGCTTGAATTGTCATCTGTTTGGTGCGGTTAGTGAAACCATCAGTATAGAAAGCGATAGGAACATCATCTGGATTGGAGAACTCATTTGAATTGACAAATTCCTTGTAATATTGACCGTCGAAAAAATCACGAATTTCAACTTGACTTGTTTCCCAGTCCACTCTAGACTGCATAAGATCCCTCGTTTTTTGTTTCTGCAAGCGTTTGTGCAAGCATATAACCGACGGACATGATGATGGTGGTTATTGCAGGTGCCGGATTATTCTGATTCTTGTTTCTGAATTCATTGCAATGCGGGCAAGTATGCTCATCACCGTCAATCACAGAAAGCTTGCATCCGTTTTTACAAGTTTCGTACTCATAACCTCGAATACTCAACTTGGACTTGCCTAATGCATTGATAACATCAGCGTGCGATACTTTGGCACATGGCTCTGTTTCGTTTTTAATAGTATGCTTAGATGACAGGAATTGTCACAATAATGATGTATGTATACCTTCCATTATTTGATCGTGGTCTCTAATAACCGTATTAATCAATCTTACCAGCTCTTTGTTTCCCGCTTGAGAAATTTCGTTCTCAGTCAAAGCTGGATACTAAAAAAAATCTGCTTTGATAACGCTATTCTTACTTATACCCCCATTATTGTAAACATGAACAAGACCCTCGGTTTCTTCACATCTGCATTCAGTCAAATAGGGACTTTTTTCATCTAAATCTCTTTGGTCCTTGCGGAATGTCACAGGTTACCCCACAAATCGAAGTAAGCGTTTTGTCATATACCTTGCATTTTTACAAAACTTACCTGCTGGTGTTTCTTGATGCATAGGAGAAGCACTAACTGCGTCCATAAGAGAGTACGCCAATGGATCATTGTTGTTCATAGGTAATGCACCTTCGACACCCTCATTTGTGTCAGCAGGATCATTAACAGAATGGATTCTGCGGTGATTTCCCAAATGTTGATAAGAATTGAATTCTCTGTTGCAGGTAGGACATGGATGTATACTAGTTGTCAATTTAATCCTTTTACGAGTGGGAACAGAAGAGCTGGAAGCGGGATTGGAGATTATGTAGAAAATATCGAATGATGTTAAGCAAAGGAAAAAGGATTTATTGACAGATGATGCATTCAACCCTTATTTAGGTAAGTAATATTTTGGGGCAATAAAAATCTCTACGTCATGAAGAAAGAAATTTGAACTGTAACGATTATGCTAAAATAAATAAATAAAAACCTTTTATTCCAACACTTCTAACAACAACCCATGTCTGAAATAAACAACCATCATCTTTTACAAATGACTAAAACTTGAGATTCTTTAGTTGAATCTGTCAAGAATATTGAAAAGTGCAATCAAATTCAAAGACGATTTAAAGCGAAATGTTTTGGGACCACTTTGGTCCTGTAAAAGACACAGTTCAACTAATGGCAATTGGTGATCTTCGGTAGCAAGGTTTTTTTCTATACGTATATAACTCTATAAGACAATACCTTTATTTCTAATACAACAATCAAGCTTATGGCTCAATTGAGCAATCTCTTCAGAGAAAGAGATACGTGGAGAAACAGGATTACTTGGGTCCGAAAATGTATGGTACCAATATCGTGCCAAGTAAGGTCAATGGTAGGCGTACTGGCTTCAAGCAGAAAATATTCACTCTGTTCCAGCTACTAAACACTAAAGATACCATTGGCGAGACAGATAGTTTTGCCCTCCTCCCCACTGGAAGAATGGATTCAATGCGATCGCGCTCAATCAATTGACTAGAGATGTTAAAGGGATGATCTCGGTTGATCTTAGAGAAAGACAACTTTAGAAGGATATAGATACCAATTGTAGTTGAATTATTTTATCTTATAAAGCAGGAAGAACTTACACATAATGAAAAGATCGACATTTGTTTATGCAAAAAATTTCTGGTGTACCTGGTAGGACATTCAAAGCTTTATAACAGACAGATGCAAGAGAGGTAGGTATGAAACGATATATTTTCGCTCTTAATGTATTTAAGTAAAGTTTTTTTCTAGACTACTCAAGTTGATGGTAGTGAGTTGGAGGGAGAAGAACAGAACCCCAGTGAAAATAATGAAGATTTCGAAGCTGGATCATCTTTGCCACTGTTAGTAAGACTACATTTTTATCTTCTTTCTTTTTGTCAAAGTAATTACATTTCGATAAAAAAACAAACTCGTTGAAAATCTTGTAGCTAACTAAAGAGCCTGATGCTAATGCTAATGTAGTCATTCGACCCATGCAAGAATGACTAGTCCTGAAATTTAAGATCTTTCAATTGTATGTCTTTTACTTGTTGATGGCAAGTCTAAATTTGTAAACATTCTCTCTTGTGGAAACTCTTAAATCATCTGTTGCTTTACTTTGTTTATCTCTACAGACAATCTTCCAACCTTACTTTTGTTTGCCTTCTGTAAAAAGCATAATTGAAGCCAGTCTGTATCGGAAAGTTGTCTCGTCACCCCGTCGTTATTTGTATCATTTTTTAAATAAATAAATGTTGGATCATCATTACATGTAGCGGTTTTTACAGAACAATTCAAACTACATCGAACAGAGTGACATAACTGTTAAAGGTTAATTCTATATTAGATTATGATATCAATTATTTTACATACCATTTTATGGTTAGTTGTTAAAAAGAAAACAGAAGAAAAAAAATCAGGTTTATGTACAAGAACGGTACACGCAAACATAAAGTGCTCCTGCAGTGCGTTTGATAGGTACTTTCAATAACCCTTGGACTATTTCTTTTTTTTCTATAATTTTTCTCTTTAAAAGATGGAGAAAATGGGGAAACTAGAAAGAAAATTCTAAGAAGGAGGGTGATTTTAGAACAAAATGTTGCAACTGTTTATTGAGTGGCAAGCATTCGGACCTAAAGCCCTTGGCCTTAAGCACTAGAAACAATTTATTTGTAATATAAGTATGCTAATAAAACCGTGAATACTTTTTCATAGAGACATTTAAAAAGTGCAAAGTTTTGAAAGTTATTCGTCCCTTAAAACCAGCGAAGAAGTAAAGTTTAGTGCCTTTGAAAAAAAAAAAGCATAAGTCAATTAAAGCACGATACAAAAAAAGCCTAACCGTGTAACACCAAACGTTATATGAACAAGATACACTTTCTGACCAACTGTTACGTTCAGCGTATTAACTTAAGAAATTTTCATTTAATCATACCGATTATATAGGTATCGTAGTATATGTTTATTAAACTACAAAACTCGATTTTGAAGTGGTTATTTATTTCTTTAACAAGTACACGGCCCATAATATTGAGCATTAAATAGCTACCTTCCGAAAAAACAATCAAAAAAACTACGCGGTAAAAAAAAATTGTGCGCAGGAAAAATCTTAAAGTAACAATTGAATATAAAAAGGACCTTTATTTCTATCATGACAAACTCTCCAACTTATAATAAAGGATTATAGAGTCTCATTTCTTTACTTGCTTTATTTTCCAATTTACATTTCCCTTTTTTATCTTTAATTATCACATTTTTTAAATGAATTCTCTCAATCTCAACAACTCTGCTGCTTCTGGTACTTCCGGTTCTGATTCCGCTGGCAACTCTATCGATGCCAACCCTAACCCTGGCTCCCCCATTGCTGCTCTTCTCACTGGTACGTCTACCGACGCTACTACCTCTGTCAATCTTCCTCAGTCCTCTGCTGAATCGAAGCCTATGGAAATTGATAATCTCGATAAAGTCGAACATTCTAGTTCCTCTTATTCGTTCACTCCCTCTTCATTCTCTGATCCAGTCGTTACTCATGTATTTTCTTTACCTATCCCAACCCCTGTTCGCAATACGTTTGATGAGGACGCCGATCAAATTTTGGCTAGAATCAGTGATATCAACAAGTTCATTCGTGAGCTTTACGAGAAAGAAACTACTATTATGCGTACTGATACCAGTACCATTCCCGAGTTTCAAATTCGTGAATACAAGATCAAGTCCATTGCTCAAGACTTAGAGTACTACCGCAAGGCTCGTGTTTCCGCCAACAGTCTCTTCGCCTCTTTCAAGGATACATCTGTAAACTTGTTAGCCAATCAAACTCAAATCTTGTCTTTTGAATCACAGGCCAACAAGGTGGTCAAAGGATTATACTGACATTCCCGCTAAGGATATCCCTGTCTTTGATGTCTCATTCCCGGATCATATCTGCCATCCCGATATTTACGCCGTCGATGACCACTCTCTGCAAACTTTCATCAGAAAGTTTGAACGTGCCTACCTAAATTATGGTGTCAACATCGAACTCCACTGGCTTTTTCATCTCGAGGCCAGCTTCGAAAACAACAACTCCTATAACTCTTGGCTCATTCAAAATTTCAAGTCCACTTCAAGTAACAAGCCTAAGACCTGGAATGAAGCCAAGGCTACCTTAGAATGCCGTTTTGATCCTGTCGCTCGTCTTGGTTCCATTTAAGGTCGATTTTATGTTACACAGCATGCGAATATATACTACTGAGCAGCTGGCCCAGTATATGAATCGTTTTGGTGCTTGCGTCCACGCCGCCAAAGTTCAACCAAATGACAATTTCTTCTTAACCATTTGCTTCCTCTCTTCGCTTCACACAAAGTAATTCCAGGATAAGGTGCAAGAACGTATGTACTTACGCAAGAAAAATCAATGCTTCGTCTTGTCGGGTCACCAAGTTTTCAGTTCAACACATGAACGAGTGTGCTGAACGTAAGAAGTTCCTAGAAAATAAGTAATTACTAATAGTGACACACATGCTCCTAATTTATCAAATAACCTTAATGAATCTATTACTGACATTTCTTCTTCTAATTGTAGCACCATCAATAATCCCGAAGATCAAATGAGCTCTGAATTGCTCCCTCTCGGAGATGACAATGAATTTCTTGCTGCTTATAATAGTTTAGATTCGTTCATCATCCATGATAACGATGAACTAGAATCAAATAATAACAATACTTTTTTCAATAAAAATATATTTTCCATAAAAATTAATTCTGATTCTTCTACTTGTCTTAATAATTTTTCTTTAAAAAGTAATACTGTCGGTGACACAAATAACCCCTTTGACTCAAACAACGTGGCTTATTCTCCGGTTACTCCAATTATTATTAATTCAGTGAAATCTTACTGCACTATCGATACAGGAGCCCAGATTTTTGTCATGAACAAGCAATTTGCCGTTGATAATAATATTCAATTTAAGCAAACAGAAGGATCTTTATTGTTCGCTTATGGTACCAAAATTCAACGTCAACGCACTACTCAATTCTTATCACTTGACTACAATGGTGTTGAAAAACAAGTGTTGCACAAATTTGACATTGTCGATAATAAGTATTTATCATCATCCAACCAAATCCTCATTGGTATGGATCTGTTACCTAAATTTAACATTCACCTTCTCAATGTTGCTCACAAGTTCAAAGACACTACTGAACAAGTCGATGACTCAATTGATGATCAAGCTTACGTCCCTAACGTAACCCCTTTCGGAACAGAAAAAGAACAACATGCTTTTACTTTAGCTCTTACGCCATACATTGGGGCTAATAAAGCGCTTAATTAAAACTCTTTTTGTAACATTCCCGAAAGTGTCCTTCATCTCCCCACTCCTCCAGACTATCATGCCCATGTTCTTTTATATCCAATTGCCTTTAAATTAGAACCAAAAGCAATGGAAGTAATCAGAGATTGGGTAGCGGATGAAATTATCACAAGAGCCCCTGCTTCTGCATGGAACATTCCAATTACGGTAACTATCAAGAAAAATTATGAATCCGGTGTAACATCTTCCA